CTTCTATTCTCATATTCTTCTATCTTTCTAATATTTCTACTTTTTTTCACACGACGAACAAAGTCCACTTCTAAATCTCACCGGAACAGCAACCCCACAGTGCCGATGGTACCTGAAGGCACATGCATAGCCAATGGTTTGGAGGCTTTCAGTTAACGGGTCGTTATTATTAAAAAACTGAAATCTGATCGTGATGTATTTGGTGTAAGGATTTGGGTTTAGGTAAGGGTTAAAGATAATTCGACAGTGTATGCCCCTCGATTGGAATAATCAGTGAACATATTTATAGAGCGGTAAATGGTGTCAGCTCAGAATGAGGAGTCGTCACCTTGACGTAATAACCAAGAAGTTACATTCATAAGGTTATACTTTAGGATCCTGCTAATAGACTGAACTGAACTGTGCGGAGTCCTGGCCACCAGCGCGGACATGTACATTAACCAGATAGAGCTAAGGAAACAGGTTCGAGCAAAGACCAGCTACCAAATTATAATGCAGATTGTGAAAGGTCTAAAGATTGGAAGTCCCCGAGTTAAGGAGCCTTCTACTATACACAAGTTAACTTTTAATTGCTTCCATAATATTGCTCCAGATCTTTTTAAGAGCTGTTTTATCAGTTATTCACATATTTATTCCACTAGGCGTAATGATATACAAATTTTAATTCCTAAAGTCCGTACAGAATCTGCTTCGAAAGGAACATTTTATACTGGAGCCCAGGCTTTCAATAACTTGCCACCGAATCAAAAGGAGGTTGACTCTATCGTGATTTTTAAAACTCAGCTTCATAATCTTTTTTTTAGAGTGATAATTTACGTAGTTATAAAATTCTTAGTTTTTATCCATCGATATTGTACATAGTCCAGTGTACATTTTTTGATAGTTGATGTGTTAATAACTATTTTATCCTTTAATTGTTATTTTTAGTTGCCCAGGGCACCCATTTATAACAGCTTCAGCGGACAGGTTAGCCTCCTGCCGAACGCGTGACGAACCTCTAAGAACGTCTGCGTGAGAGGCTACTGACGGGTTTTCTCTGGTTAAATATGTTGGTGAGAACAATGATAATTTTAAAGTAATATATTTTCCTGTACCGTATGGATAGAGACCTGCTGCCTTGGTGCTGTCTTCACCAGGGTACATGAGGATTTCTTTAAGTGAATGCCAGGAATTTCTATAGAATATAAATCATTGCGAGATTCCTCATTAATAGCGAGTAGCCTAAAACAGAACTTCTGAGATCTGTTTCTCAATTCAGGCACAAATGCTATTAATGCTTCGGGTATAACCGCTGAACTGCTATAATAAAAAAACGCATGCCCAAAGATAATGAGATATAGCCATGGTCGAAAGAAGAGCAAAAGTACTTAAGTAAACTTACACCAGAGTTATTTCTTTTGGTATTGCAGCGTCAATTTTCCTGCTCGGAGTTAATTTTTCCTTGAGCAATTTCAAAAGGATAAGCAAAAACATTACCATGATAACGAGACAGGGAAGCCCAAAGCAGCAAATGGAAATAATTGCGGTAATAACGGCTGCTTTAGTCCAATAATATACCACAAAAATAATGGAGGAGACTGATGACGCATTCAGCCAGCATGAAACGCTTGTCATGCAAGCGAGGCGATCACGTTCTTTTTGGTGCATAACTGGCCGGTAAATAGCGCAAAATCTTTCTGTTACCATAGCAACCACATGGAGAGTGGCCAGAAGTTGATGGACGACACCAAAGCTGTTGAAAGAAAAGTCATCTACTTCGTCCAAGACAATTTGTTTGTCCCATGATAAGGATAAATAACCAAAGTGGTATTGTTACTATGGCTGTGGTAAGATTTGAAAGATCATGGCTTCTTAATATGTGACCAAGTCCTGTAAAATGTAATCGATCGTTAGGATTGGGTGGCTTCCAGGTTAAAACAATGCTGTTGGCTACTAATGAAATGCAGCTGATAATACACAAAACAACGAAGTACAGCCAAGATAAAACAGGATCCAAAATTACCATGGTCGAGGGCTCACTTAAAGATCACGTGGCTGAAATAAGTAAAGATTTTTATTGTTTAATTCCCATTCATTGATTTTAAGATTTTAGTCATAATTTCCTAATCACAGTTTGCGATATGATAGAAATCATCGCCAGAGAGCGTTGATATTCTCAGTCAAGGCTGTTGCCAGCAGAACTCATTAATATTGATTTCTGATGAATAATGCCTACAATTATGTTACTGTATCGTTTGATGAAATACAGATTATAATTTTCGTAAGGACGCCATTCTAACGTAAAACTTTATTCTATTTTTTATTTTGTTTTAAGTTTAACCCATTTTTTTTAACGTTATCATTTCCATCTTGTTATCTTACACCTACATTATTACTAAATCGCTCGGCCATCACATCATCAATTCATTTCGTTTCTTTGTCTCGGTCGTTTCTTTTTCGGTATGTTTTTTGTTTGCGAATTAAATTACACCATAAACTAGAAAAAACTGAACTTGAATCTTGAAAATAAGAATGTACAGGAAACTAAATGGAAATAAAGGTTATTAATGACTTTACTTAGACCTACTTTACAACAGGACAAATAGCCTTACCTTTTTAATTGACTGTTACCACTGAGAGTTTTTCTAGAAATCCTCTTAATTAGCCTGACTGCTTGGCTATTTTTTACCACAAAATAAAACTGTTTAGTCTATGGCCGCTTTTTTTGTACTCCATGTACAAAAAAAGATGCGTTGATGGTGAGAGTGGTAGTGCTGTTTAATGTTTTTACTGTTTTTGTCATGAATATTGTATGTTTTTAAGTCTCATTCTGCTTTATACCCATTCATTTAAGAACCACAATTCACTTCATTATAACTGTTAATAGGGCACCTTACTTAGCTATGAAAATCCCACTTACATTGGCTCATTACGTTGACCAATGGCTTCTTTTCAGTGCACTCAATGAAGACATTGTTTTTTTTTTGTTATTAGAAATATTTTATAGTCATAATTTGAGAGTTTATTGCTCACGATCCTCCATTTTCTTCCACAAACTAAGTCTTTGCTTAGCGAAAAATCTTAAGGATTTGAGCACCATATCGCTCCTAACCTTAATTTTGGAGTAACCGCCGCCTAGATAGCTTACTTGATAGAGTACTACCAGCCTTCGCAGCTGTAGGGCGGGCCAGTCTGACTCCTAGCCAGACCAATACCCAAAGTCTGAATGTAATCAAGGAGCAGGTGCTGCATTTACCCTTTCTTATTCTTCTCGGATAAAGATCGTGGGCTCCGTCTTACAACACTCTCATTGAATAGATCCGACAGTGTCGGACGATGAAGAACCACTAGGGAAGTAACAATTTTTGTCTGTGTGTACCACAGTTGGCCTATTTTTAAAGAGTTGTGGAAACATGGATATGGAGGGGAGGGAACCTGGCTCGTATGGGACCTGATGAGTTCCCTTTTATCGCAAATTCCCGCAGGCAGGTGTGTTTCCACTACAGCTGCTAAAAAACGCCACGCAGGTATCAAGCCCTATCATGTCAGGTAGAGTTGTCATTCTTTATTTACAATTAGCCTGATCCAAAAGCAGATAAGTAAAATTAGAAAGTGTTAGTGTTAAACGCCAATACACCACTTTAAGCCATTAGTTGCATATGTTACGTCTTTTAAGTGTTTTACCGAACGAAAGCAAATAAACAGAAAAGGCCACGTTAATAGCGCAAAATTATTTTAAAAACAATAACAATAGCACTTAAAATCGTGCATTTCCGGAAATATACGGCAGACTCTTAGACAACTTTCTTCCAGTTTTACAAAGATTTTCGGAATTAGTTTAGAGTAGGGCAATATCAAAGGCCTAGAAGGTGATGCCTATTGTGGGGGTGTGTTCGAGCAACTCGCTCGCTACACGATGAGGTACCAGGAATCTGATTTACATATTGCTTTTATTCTTCTTAATCTTCTAACTCTTCCACTTTTTCACTAACTTACTTCTACCAACTTCTACCTACTCAGCAACTTTCTCAGTTCTACCAACTTCTCCACTCTTCTCTACTTCTACTGGTTCAAGTATTGTAGCAGTTTTAATAGCCAAGGCTGGACATGTTGGGTTAGCTGACCGGAAGAGTTGCTATTGTATACCTGATCGCTAACATTGCAACAGGTTTGCTATTGTTAGGGAATAGATTAGCCTACGCACAGCCGCAACTGATAAGTACCAAAGAACGAAGGTCAGCTCTAACACCACAAACACGACCACCTGTAAAAAACTAACATCTGACAATGCCAAGGGAATAAAATTCCTAATATGGCAATAAGCAAATTCGAGAGCTAAGCATAAATTCAAGTACAAGTAAAAACAAAAGATCAAAACAGAGAAACAGTACGTGCACAAAAACAAGACTTAATGAAACAAAAACTAAACTTAAAAGATAAGATAGATCCGTCTTAAATTTAACTTTTAAAATACTTCACAACACTGTACACCCCTGGCTATCTGTGGCCAGTTAAACCAGCATGACCGGTCACCGCTTTTTCAGCCACCGGGATACAAGGTGTACAGCAGCTGGTATCTCCTTTCCCCCCTAGTTGCTTTTATAACTAATAATTCTTTTCTCTTATCATCTTCTCCCTATTTTCCCCTTGATTATTATTATTTTTGCTCATTCACTCGATATATTTTCTTTCCCGTGTGAATTAAGGTGGATACAACGTCAGTCAAAAACTGCATATATTCAAATATGGTACCTGTTAGACATTATCGATAGCATAAATGTTGCCTTTTACTCATACTAAGCCATGACAACAGAAATGTTTAAAGTTTTAATATTTTGTTACAGTTGTCCAGTGCACTTGACAAGACTAAGCTTTAGCACAAAGTAATCAATAAAGATATGTTGGCTTATGGCATCTTTGTGCTAATACAGACAGCCCGTAACAACTTTTGCTTTATTACTTTAGCTTAAATAATCTAATACCCTCTATCAAATATACATTTCTTTTATAATAATCTTAGTTTATAATGGCAATTTCTTAGTGTCTTTTTCATCTGCAGTAGCGTCGGCAGTTTCAGTAGCGCTGCCGTTGCTTTGATGATCAGCTATATCGGACAGTTCAACATCTTTGCCACGTATGGTGCTTCTTCTCAGCGATTGTCGATCCGAGGAACGACGATACATAGATCCTGTCAGTCTTCTCTCTTTTAACAATATGGTAATTGGGCGTCGAAACTCGGGCATGCGTGCTGAGTAAACCACGGGGTTTAACGCTGATCCACAGTAGTGCAGCGCCTTAAAAAACAAGACAAGCTGTAAAGGTACTGAGACTGCGCACTTAGAGCATGAAAATAAGACCAAGTTGAGACTAAAGAACGGCAACCACGTGATCAGGAAGAGGAGAATCAAGGCGAAAATAGTGAGAGCAGTACGACTTTCTCTCCTGACAACTCGAGCTCCTTGCCTTGATATCTTTGTCCTACTCTTCACAATAATCCATATTGATGTATAAGCAAATAAAATAACGGAGAAAGGTACAAAAAATCCAAGGGTCGAGTATATGAGGAACGTTCCTTTCCATTCAGGACCTTTGGGTATGAAGAAGTTTAGCGAGGCAATACCAGTGGCGGTGATCCAGATTATAGCCAGGAATATAAAGTTAATACGCGCAGTGGAGGTACGATGACGTAAGGGAAAGGCGATTGCATATACTCGTTCAACACTAATCGTCATCAAGTGAAGAATAGACAACATTCCTGAGAGAATGTCCACAGGGCTAAATATGGTCTGCACAAGGGAAGAAGCTTTATAGTCTTGATTATACAAGAGAATCAACCAAGTCACGTACAACGGTACTGTAAGCGTACCCACTAATATGTCACCGACAGCCAGGCCAATTACAAAATAATTTGTTCTTGTTCTTAGATTGCGTTTCTTTGAAAACACAAAGATAATTAGAACGTTTCCTAATATGGCGAACGTGGCGATAATTAAGTACACTATGCACCATATGACTAGGTATTGTAGGTCAATGAACGATCCTCTTAAAGCTGTTGGGTTGACTGCCGCGGATCTGTTGGAGTTAGTGCTGTTGGAGCTGTTGCTATCCATCCCTCTTGAGCTCACCATCTGTGATAGTAGAGCAATAAAAATAAGAAAAAAGCCAAGTACAGTCAACTTCTCAAAACGGATACATGCAGAATTGATAAACTAAACGGAGCTGTTTGAGGTTGAGAATACGCTAAATTCCAAGGCATATCATAGTAACTATTCAATTAAGACGGAAGCCGGTTATCACTTTTTTCTCTCTTTGCAAAAACTTTAATGTAAAATACCTGAGAAAAGGACTTTCGTAATTCTAATCCTGCGTTGTTTCCTCTGCTTGCTCTATTGAAACTGCTGCAAGAAGCATAAAACATTTGTTTAAAAGACAACATGTCTTAAATTCAGCAGCATGATATTAATATTTACTCGACAACAGCTGTTCGTCGGTTATAGATATGGTGCTTATATGTACAATTTTATTAGAATTTCCAGTTAATTTCGCCTTCCTGTGTCATTAACAAACTCCCTGCACATTTGGCTTCTTTCATTATTTACAAATTTAAGCTGACTTAATATACTCATGCTAATTCACGGTTGTTTCATCGTATCTCGTTAAAAATGCTCATATATCATGTATGAACTCCTGGCTAGCTTAGTTTATGATCATAAAAGTCACTTGTTCTCAGACGCCAGCCGATATTGCGAACCGTCGAACAGTAGAACACTTTTACTTCAAAGTTTACCGGCTATTTGTTTAACTAATTAATATATTAATTTCTCTACATCCTTAAAGCGAACCAAATAGAAAAGTTGCAAGACATTGAATCCAATCTAGTAATAATTAAGGAAGGCCTCACTAAAAATTCAACGGAAAAAAAACACAATATTTTGCCTCCGTAGATTGAATACCGAATACAGAAAAGTGTTACTCTCTCCGCTGTAGGTAGGTAACGTACCTTTAGAAGGGTCTATGATTAGTAGCTAAAAAATAAAGCTAGCTAAACAATATGCTCCATTACCGATGGGGTGAGGTGGTGTGCGCCATTTAAATCCTAACTCTTGTACTGATAACCTGACACACTGACGACCACACTGACCACTTTCCTGGCAATGTTTGAAACCGACGAATACCTCGCTTTAAAACTGGCTTCATTGGCTTTACTGTATTACGCCGATACATAAAAATATCTCATACTAACTTTACCATGAAAAACTAATGTGGGAGAAAAATGATAATAATAAAAGTCAATGAATAACGAATAAGTTAGAAAAAAATGCAAGCATAATGAATAAGGAAGAACGACTGATCCAGCTTCTCCACCCTCGCATTACCTGCCTCAAAAACCGCTACTCACAACAAATTGACGATACTAATGCTAAAATAAAATGCAATGCGGCCGTGATGAGTTCGGTAAAATTATGTTTTTATGGAATATATCGAACATCCTGGCTTTCGATGCCTTGTTTGCAAATACATTTTACATTCATTATGCGGATAAACTTCACGAGCTAAAGTTTAATGCTGCAAATGTAAAAATTATATCTTTTTGTTACATTCTAGCCACTATTATATCCCTGGAGAAGAAGAATTATATGAAAGCTTGTCCCCTTCTCAAGTTTTAGCTTTTCAAGCAAAAATTCAAATACAGTAAAAAATAAATTATAAGCTTTAACAGAGCACCGCATAGGGATCTGTGCAATTAACGCTTTGACCAAATACTGTGACAAGTTTTTTGTCTGGTAACACAAAGAAAATTTTGTGACAAAACACTTTCAACTAGCAGTCTCTTTCGCGGCTATTTCTGTATAATTTGCAGCTAAAAACACTGAGATACAAAATCACACCATAAATATACAGCTGTTTCGTAGTTTTGATATCCGACACAAACTTGAAACTGTGTATGTTGGTCAGCGCAAATAACTGAGTTCTAACTAACGTTGTACAACATGTTTTCTTACCAAAAGAATTCTTGCTGTAACAGTGTTAATGCGATTTGAGAACAGTCGAGGTTACGCGGCTCGCCGCTCCTGAACGGTCAAATAATCACTTGGGTTCGTCAGCGCCCTTCAGATCTATTTTGTGTTCAGTCATTGTAGTCTTTTGTATTATATATGCCCTACGGGGGATCCAGAACCACTAAACTGACAACATCGTATCGCTTACGTTGCTGATTACCATGATAAGAACTCTCAGCAATCACGTTCAGTTAAAAACCACGCTGACTCAGAAGGTGTCCTGCTAACCACAGAATAATCTGCACATGCTATAATTTTAGTTTAACAACGTAGCTTAATTGAAATTACTTCTTCTCTAAAATATGCGATATCTGAATCTTAGCATCTGTTACCGTGTTAGTTTTTCACTAGACCGCACAACTCAAAACTGATCGGGACTATTCATATCTCAGAGGGTGTCGTTCTTTGTTGATATTTCTCTCCTCCGCAGAAGTGGCTATTAATAAAACAAAAGAAAAACGGGAAAACTGGCGAATGAATAAATAATTTGAGAGTGGGTGCGCGTGGGACAAAGTTTAGCTACAGTGGCACAAAAAAGGTCTGTCTTCACAGGAGATGAATGATTGAAAGCTCGGATTTTTCAACCAATCGCTATGGCTAACGAGATACACTAAAAACACGTTAAACTTAATTACTTTGCGGCGCGCTACAGTTTTTCTATTGAGTTTCTTTCTTATCCAACTTCATCTTAACTTTTTAAATGCGTCACTTAATTAGCATTTATTAAGGAAACAAAAGCTTTTGCCGACCGAAAACAGCACATAAATCTTTCTACATGATAATAAAAGCTACTACAACAGAAAGGCTCTCAATGCAAAGTATCTTTTGATAGCTCGCTCCTGTGGCTTCATTTATAACTGAGCGCGGCAAACCTCTTTCGGTTTTTTCTTGTGCAAATAACTGGTCACCCACAGATAAGCACAATTAACTAACTTCGTGCCTCTTCGTAAATCTTTATTGTTAAATTCTTTGCTTCAAAGGAAAGTATGCCCACCAATTATGGATAGTTATCAAAAACTGCGGGATCCTCAGTACACATATTTTGCTTCATTTATGGCTTATCTTTTATCTTGTTAGTGGCTGTTATCATCTTTGTTACTATGCTAACAGCGAGCTGCCGACTGACGTCAGGGCCAAGGCAAAGACTGACTTTCAGCTTTGTTTGTAATTCAAAGGGTAGACATTACTTTGCGAAAACTATGGAATGAACGAAAAAAAGATGAAAGCAACCGACATTTTTTAAGTAAATCATATGTGCTAGTTCATGCAGTGCTCTGTATTTAAGTTGTAATAGAAAGCGGGTATTTCAGAAAATATTTTCTGACCTTGGATCTTGTACATACACCCTCATCTCAGGAAAGTAGACCATATACTTTCTTTGGAAAAATGATACAAGTATTAAAAAAGATCAGTTCTTCGTGCTAGATTTTCCTTCTCCCTGAGGCCGGCTCTATAGAGACCTTAAGATACCCCGATATCGGTGTACGGGTACGGGTAGTGTACCCGTACACGTAAAATGTTCATGTGCGTGACTATTTCGATTAAGATACCCGAAGAACAAGCACGCAAAATTAACTTTGTGCATGCATGTCGCTTAATGCATACAAAATCTCCCTCAAATTCTACACCTCATATCTTAACAACAAGCTGCAACAAATAATTCATTCATACATAAGCTTATTGAAATATCATAGAAAGATTTTAAGAAACTTGGCGGGAAGTCCCTCGACCGAAAGCTTGTTATCGCAAACCCCGCCATTTGATCTAGGCACATCACCAAACAATTCCTTTGATTGTCAACTTCAACAGTGACTCCCATGCTAAATGTTTCAATGCTATTTCTTTTGCGAAACTCAAACGTTCCAGCAATTCTCAGAAGTTCCCCCAAATACCGCCACAAATTGATATCGTGTCAGAGTTCAACCTGCGCATTTGAGTTCCAAAATCAATACATTTTGAAGCGCTTTCTTTACAGCTAAAATTCAAATGTGGCAAAAATATTTGAACAGACTTGCAATAACACTGCCAATGAGTCATACAATTTACATTTGTACTTAAAAAGTCTTAAAAACTTACTCGTTTCTCCATCATGTGGGACTTGCAGCTACTCGTAAATCTTCTACGGGTAAACTGGTGTCTACCCCGGAAAAACGGCTGGTTCTACCGGGTGAGGTCGATGACGTCACCACAAAATGAAAAAAACATGGCGCTACCCGTTACCCGTACACCGATTTCGGGCTATCTTAAGGTCTCTAATATTTTTATAAGGCCGAAAAGCTCTGACATACTGAAAATGGTATAAAACTGGAAAAGAAATTAAATCTTTAATCTGTCATATTGTAGTACTCTATCCTCTTTAAAATAGTGTTTTAATTTATCATAAGCGTCATCTGCGATGAGAACTGTTTTCGACATCCTCAACTATCAAAATTTATTTCCTGAAAAACGTGCCCAACTAGTCTGTTTGACAAAAGTAATCACCTGGCCCCAGTTGGTAAAGGCTGGATAGAGCTATCCATCGGATAAATCTCTATACAGTGGATAAGTATTACGGAAACCAATTGCAATATCCGGTGGATAGGGCTATTCACCTTTTGAACAACTGGGGCCTGGACTGTAAAATCAGTAGGAAATGTAAACACTTAATTAATTTTTACCACTTCTTGCTTTTAGTTCATACGGCATATGCCGGGCGGCTACAAAGGTCTCTTACTAGCCACTTTCCGGGTAGCCTGCGTGCAGACGATAACTAAACTCTGATTAGTACCGTCTGCGAAGCAGCGCAGAGATCCTTGTTCTGGACCCCCAACGGACTCAACGAATTACCGGAAGTGAGTTTCGAATTCCCCTTCAACCTGATTGGCGATCACGACAAACAAAACAAAGGCCTTTTTTAACTGGCCAATCGTGGCGCGTACTCAAATCTGGGTACACAGTTGGAAGTCCAGAACAAGGATTTCGGCGCTGTTTCGCAGACGGAGTTAACCAGAGTTTAATTTCGTCTGCGAGCAGGCTACTTTCCGGGTGTCAAAATTGCTCTTGTTCGTTGTTATATGTTAGTCTTGCGTGAATACCGGTTTTTGGCAATCGTCCATGTGGGCGTTAGTCGCCAGAATTTCGATTTCATAAAACTTTTCCTTATTTTTGTGCTAATTTTGGTAGCCTGCGAATGGCAGAAGTTTCTCCTCGCTCATCGCCGCTACCGTCCCTCTGCGGCGATGAGCGGAGGAGAAACGTCTGCTGTTCGCAGGCTATAATTTTGGCTGAATTAATTATTCTTATAAATAAGTTCTCTGGAAACATTATGGACAACAAAGCTCTACTGAACAGTACAAAAAAAATATGCCAACAATTTGTTAACACCAGTTTTGGGTCGGATTTGTCTTCCAATATCCTCACTTATCACCTTTGTAGTTTAACAAATTAGAGCCCATTTTCACCTTTCTGATTTATTTATTAGTTTTTATACCTCATTTCTTATTTGCATACTGCAATACAGTATCCCCTGGTGATTCGTAAAAAGGACCAGAAGATTGGCGTTTATTCCACAATACTTTTCCGAATGTTTTTGAACTTTAAGCTGGATTTTGACTGATCACTAAGATGTACTTGCAAGGAAACGAACGCGAGGAAACGTTGTTTGTGACTCCCTCCCTACCTAGTAGCTCATCAAAACTGTTAAGATCTGTCGAGAGAGTTCAATTTTCCCTTCTGTACGTAAACTAAACCACAATGAACTGCTGCCAAAACACAGCTGAATATCTCTGACTTAATCATTAAAGTTAAAGTTAAGTAAAGTAGAAAATGGCCTCATAATAATCCATTACTGGATCACAGAAATATCTTAATAACATAGCATTCAGACTGTCGAAATATAGGATACCCGAGCTTAAGGTTTTTACAATAGATCTCACGTTAATTGTTCTTGAACATCAGGACAATAAGTTCTGTGTACAATGCAGTATTCTTCATGACAGTTATTGCTTCCCCGAAAACACGATTTTAAATGCCAATTCTAAAAATATAAAGTCAAAATTAACACGGTGGTGCACTCGATCTCGTCAGCTTGGTCGATTGCTCTATGTTTCATGAAGTCTTTAACGCTGAACACGATGGTTATACATGTTAAAAAAACTAACTTCTATTTCAAATGCACCCAACAGCGAATAGTCATTTGATGTCAAGTTAGTCGGGTAAGAAACAAAAATTGTTTGGTACCTGTGATCGACAGATAATCTTCAGCACACTAGAGGTGAACACTGAGCACTATCATTTTTAGCCTGACTGTTTCGACGTTCTGTGCCGGTTTCAATCTGGGGTAGATTGTAATGTTTTGCTTGTGTGAGTACTGTGGTTGCCAATGCTAATAATTAGTAGCAGAATCAGCGGCGGCAAAACATATAAAGTGACGGGTTGTGTCAATAAGGCCCTCAGCTCTAATATTACTGAACATTGATTTAGTAAATGTACTGAAAATAGAATATTAACAAGCCTGAGAAACTTTATTACCAACAAGTTTAGACGAGGTTTATTGAAATTACCCCGTTTTTCGGATTTCATCAAACTTAATTTCAAACAACTTTTGTGGTAATTTAATATTATCAGTTATGTAGTTTTAACCGGTGACCGGCATTAACATTTCTGACAGAAAAAATTCTGTTTAAGTCTTATTTGCACAATTAAAACTATTAATGTATCAAAAAGCGCAAACAGAGCTTTTGGTCTATTTCATACTCGAATATCGATGTTTATGCGTACAAGAGAAAAAAACATTTTTTCTCCTTTAAGAATACTGACATGAAGAAAATCGTGACTGGAGCACTAAAGAGGATGGAATAAAGTCTTTGAGTTAAAAAAAAAACTAATGAAATTAGATAACGATTGCATAAAGGACCACAGGATGTATTGGAAGTCAGTATTTTAATTCCAGGCACGACATTGTCAAGTTATTCTTTTGTGCCCTATTTAAAAGCAAAATATCTTCTTATCTGTTTTCTCAAAAAAATAATAATCAACACCGCATTATAAAAGGGACGAATAAATTTTACCGACCTACTTGGATGTTGCTGTATTGATTAAAAAAGCAAAAGACTCGTAAAAGACGCGGATTATTAATTTAGCAATATTTTATTGCCAAGGAGTTTCATCATACCATGTTTTGTAAACACGGAGGAGATGTTAGCCTGCGAACAGCAGACGCATTTCCGGTCGTCGCTTCTCTCCCTCCGAAAAATAGCGTCTGCGATCTCGAGCTCCAAAACGATTTCCGTGACGTCAGTATTTCTTCACCAATCAGAATTCGGCTCTTATTTTTGAGGAGCTAACACGCGTGGGCATTACGTGGCTTTACGTGGGGATCTCGATATCCGCGAGAAAACCAAAATGGCGGAAGATGGGGAGAGTTCGCTGGACAACGCGTTTGTCAAAGTATGCGATATTTTCGGCTTTGAGAAGCTTAACAAGCACCAGGAAGAAGCAATTCGACAAGTAGTGGAACTAAAAGTCGATGTGTTTGTCAATTTGCCGACTGGTTATGGAAAGTCTGTTGTGTTCCAAGCTTTACCTACGGTATTTGCTTCGGTAGATAAATGCGAGAAGAATATTGTAATCGTGATTTCTCCGTTAATTAATCTTATGAAAGATCAAGTGAGTCGTCTATCTTTGCTTGGAGTAAGCGCAATATCGCTTAGTGATATCAGTTCGGCGGCGGAGATAAAAAAGGTGGAGAGTGGAGAATTCTCTATCGTTTACGGATCACCTGAATCTTGGCTTGGCGACATTAGATGGCGAAGAATGTTGGCAAGCGAAACCTACAAATCCTATGTGAGAGCAGTTGCCGTGGATGAAGCGCACGTGATTTGCCATTGGTAAGAAATATTATTATCGCTTCAATGAGGTTATTCTTTCATCGTTCTTGACTCCCGGGGAATAGAATTAACAGTTTTAAGTGAAAGTTTTTCGTATACAATTGCATATTTAGCATGATCTTACCCTAATGTAACCTGAGATCAGGCTCTATTTTCGTTTCGCTTTGAAAACTACATTCCGGCGGGCAAGGCGAAAAGCGGTAGAGACGTTAGAGAGAATGTATGAGAACCGCTCAAATTAGGCCTGATCTCAGGATAACCCTAATGTCACACAGTTGACATTGGTTCACACGATTTCTTCAAGAGAATAAAGAGAGTTATTTCTGTATGATGCGATTGCAAGTTTAATGTTAGAAGCTATAATACACTGGTAGTAAACAAGTAATCAAAAGGTTAACTCAAATGTAATATTGAATCATTTATCGTTTTTCTAGGGGGGGAAATCAAAGAGCAACAACCTTGCAGCCTTTAGAGTGTGGTTCTCTCGGTTACATGAGATGCGTTCATTATTACCACACACTCCATTTGTTGCCCTTACTGCTACAGCCACAAAAGATACTAGAGACACAATTTTTGAAGTACTCATCATGAAAGAGCCTCACATTGTTGAGGAAAATCCAAACAAACCCAACATTGCATATGTTGTTAAGTACATGGAAAGGAATGCTCGCCTTTCAGATTATTTTCATTGGATAGCCAAAGAGGTAATTGACAAACACTCCATGGCTACTAGAACAATAATTTATTGTCAGACAATAAAGCAGTGTGCAGTTGTGTATTCAACACTGAAGACCCTTATTGGGGATAAAATTTATGTTGACCCACAGAACAAAGATCTAAAAAGAGTGGTTCTTGAAATGTTACATTCTTGCAGCCCCAAGTCAAATAAAGATCTCATTCTTGAGTCATTTCAGTGTGATGAAGGACATATCCGTATTCTTGTTGCTACAATTGCATTTGGCATGGGTGTGGATTGTAAGAAGGTCTATCGAACAATCCATTTTGGCCCAGCCAAAAATGTAGAAAGCTACTTGCAAGAGAGTGGCAGAGCAGGAAGGGATGGCTCTCAGTGTACCGCTTATCTGCTCTACCAAGGAATGCAACTTATTCATGTGGACCAGGACATAAAGAGTTACATAAAATCAAATGGCTGCCGACGTAAGCAATTGCTGCAATATTTTGATGTGGATTGTTCTCCACAGAATCCTGCGCACCTTTGTTGTGACAACTGTTCAGTCATGTGTGAATGTGGCACATATGAATGCAAACCTCTTGCCTACCCTCTCTGTAGAGCTGATCTCCATCTCAATTCAAAAAGAAAACGGTCAGCTACAGAGGAACAGAAAACTACACTGGTAAATAAACTGGCTGCATATCACAAGAAGTTGCACACCAATCTGTTACAAAGAGATGCAAGTGGGAAAATGAAATTTTTCACCAACCCCAAGTTTTTGCTTGGATTTTCTGATCTGCAAATTCAACAAGTTGCGGAACACTGTAATGAATTTTTTTCTGTGTCGGACATTTGTACTGTGGTGGAGATATGGGATATGCAGCATGCATTTGAAATTCACGCAGTGATGCAAGAAGTATTTGGAGACATGTTAGACATAGAACTGAGTTCAGAAGATGAATGTTCCGATGAAGAGAGTGACTTTCTTCGAAATGATTGGAATGATCTTGTTGTGGACGATGAACTTGCTAATATGGTTATTGACAATCTCAGCTTTTCTCAGTGGGATGAGTCAGCAGATGAATCTGCTGATGAGCAAGTAGACGCAGGTGTTCCATTTGCTGCTTTAAACGCAGTTTTAAATTTGAGTTTTGATGCAGTGTTGAACAAATGATACAGTGTTCAAATCATGAATGTAAATTTTGAAACAAAGTTATGGACAATGTAGATATTGCGGTACTGTTGAGCCAACAAGACTTCTAATAATTTCCTATGTTGATTCAGAGGGATATTAACAGTGGAATATAGGGTGTTTTTCTGTTGACATTGAGGACAGACACATTTTTTGACTTTCGAATGGCATCTGCTTGTACTGGTGTACCCAATAGAGAGATCAAAGTTTAAACAGGTGATATATATAACACTTTTTGAACATATATAGAATGTCTTGGTGCAGAGTTATTTTCAGACATTTTCTAGGGAATGGGTGTAATGTGCAGTCACATTTAGAAACCCCGGCCCAGTTGTTCGAAGGCCGATTAGTGCTTAACCCAGGGTTAAATTTAACCCGGGTTTCTTTTTCTTTTGTTTAAGAGCATTTTCGTGGATAATTTTCTCCCTTATTTTGAAGAGCATCCAACCATCAACTTGATGACAGAAAGAATTAAAGTGAATTTACTTTTTAAGCCTTCAAATCTTAATTCAAATTTCGCACTAACCCTGGGTTATTTTAACCCAGCTTTGAACAACCCGGCCCCAGAGGATATATGGTAATCTCACCTGTCAGAGTCAATCATTCATTTACATGTATGGAAATGAATTTTAATTTTTCAGAATTTTTACGAAATCAGTGTCTAGTTTTTCTGTTACAGATGAAATTTTCTAATCAGTTTTATTGGGGCTCACATATCATTTGACGGTTTCAAAAATAACATCAAGATAAAGATTTACCACATAACACCCTCATTTCATTCACTGAATGTTATTATCTTTAATTCTTTACCAGTCAGGTACAATTTCATTCTTGTTATAGCCTGTTCCAGGCATTAAGATACATGTAAGGTGCATTTGAGAATTCAAAATAAGGTGAAAAGGGGAAGCATTTAACTCGCCCCTAACTATCTAGGCCCGGTTCCTCAAAAGATAGTTACGTTGAACCCAGGATTAAGCTAAATTTCAGGCAAAGTTTTCTCGTCTAAGAAAATGAGCCTTCTCTATGACATACAGTAACAATAACACAAAATGTTACCCTACACAATGCATAGGAATGTAAAATACAAAAACAGATCAAAATTTTTATCCTGGATTAACACTTATTGACCTTTCAGGAACCGGGCCTGAAGGTCTGTAACAGGGTATTCGTGTTAGAAAATTCCCAAAGATTTTTTTCTTTTACAAATTTAATATAACTTATTGTACACTCAAATCTTTAAGTCCTGCTACTATGTGCATCACCCCTGGTTACTTTTGTTCATAAAGGAAAAAAAAATGAATAATTGAACCCAACTTTATTCTTATATGTTCATTTACCCTTCTATGAATTGCATAAAAGTTATTGACAGCCCAGTAGATCTTATAGTTAGGTTACATGCATTATTCTAAGCATTGCTAAGATAATAATTTTATAAAAATAGTATCCATTGTTACTACTATTACTTGCACACATTTGGCAGTCCTCTTAGTAAAAATAAAATTCCCTATTGCTGGCCATACCTCCAAAATATCTGCAACTGGACTTGAAACTATTATTGGGGGGGTGGGGAGGGGGGAGGAGGGCAGATAATTTTGTGCCTTGTCCCCCAACACCATCACCACCACCGTACAAACGTCTTTAAAACTTGCAACTTTGTGATGGTATATTTTTACTTCAAAATGTACCATTTTCCATGAATTTCATGAATAATTTGGGCTAGGAGACAAAGAAAATTGAAAATCATTTTAACCTGAATTTAATTTTGACCTGTAACATAATTTATATTCCCTAATTTTGATCCAAGCCAAAAATTTTACAAACACTTTAAAAGTAGGTGTGGAATCAAACAGCTGAAAGAAGCCCATTGAATACCCCAGCCTTGTCCAACCTTGTACAGAATTTTTTCTGGGAAAGGGCTCTTCAAACATTATGCTTAATTTTTGTTTTGGAAAGACTTTTTTTTTTTTTTTTACTTAAGTTTCAAATGACCAGAAGCAATGAAAGAAGTCATTACCTAGCCTTGACACCTGAAGAAAACTTTTTTTTGTGATCATTTAACCATGCATACATCTTTGACATGTCTAGGTTTACCAAAGCATCTCTTTCAAAACCCTTGAAATGCCTGTAGCTGCGACCCTCTTGGTATTTGAAAACTTCACTTTCATTTAGCTTTTTCAACAGTACATCTAAGTCAACTACAGGAAAACGTTGAATATGCTTTCCTGAGCGTATAAACCGCTGAAGAAGTCTGTCCACCTTTCCACTAATGTTCCTGACAGGTTTCTCAGCATGGGAGATTCTTGATACTGCCTTCTCTGAGAGGTTTGCTCCAATGTTACAGTAGCCTTGCTTGTTGAAATTGTTACTATGCTCCACTTCTAGGTCATGTGGAATGTTGTTTCCAAGACCTCCATGATTGTTAACAGTCCTGTTCCACACAAAGATCTCTGACTCCTTCTGGCTTAAACCATTCACCAAGAGCAGCTGGTACAGGCTCTCCAGTGCATACTTGGTACTGTGTGGGTCATCTGCTTTACATAGAAGCATTAGATACTTGTATTGTCTCATGATCCGCTGGCCATCCCCTTCTGAGACAGCATCCAAAAAGTTCATAAAGAAAAGTCCTTCTGAGAGAAGTGCAGCATTGTAATTAAAAACATCATCACTACTTTTGGACGCCTGGTCTGTGGTTGTGGATGAAGTTGTGGTTGTCACTTCTTCTATTACAACTGGTGGATCATGACTTAATTCATGTCTTCTCCTGCTCTTGCCATTGTATTTGAAGGATGTGTTACACCCTGGAAACCTACAAGGGAAACGGCCATCCTCATTAACATCCAAACATCTTTGAATTTCCCTTCTTTCCTCATCTGACACCAGTTCTTGCAAAGAACCATTCATCATTGCTTCATCAATAACAATTTCATCCACAATCATGCCAGCAGCTTTGTGTAAGAACTGGAGCCTTTGCAATTTGTTCCAGTTAGGAAGGTCCTCTGGGAAAGGGTAATGCAGTGGTTTTTCGTCTTTGCTTTTTAAGCCAAGAACATGGAATGCAGCTGCCAAAATCCTGGCTTTCACCTCTAAAATCAAGAAATCCCTATCTGGTCGGTAGGCGGAGTGTGGATCCTCTCTCACATTTCTCCTGTTAATAAGGTTTCTGTCTGCAAATAGGGTGCAATGGTCATCTGAAGAACTCCCTGAGTAAAATCTTCGAAATAGTAACTTCAAATAAATCATATAAAACAATGTTACAATAATGGTTTCTACAATGATTATAACAAAGTATTGATATAGTTTTGGATAAAATCTACATACAGTACAAAAGAGTACTAAAGTGGTGACATCATAAAAATTAAATTTCGGAAATTATGGGTTTTGTCAGGATATTTTGAAAGAACAATACCCAACAGGTCTACTTGCCAAAAAATTAATGACCTTTTCGGGGCAAATTGCCTCTGAGATATTAGCCCAGTTATGTTAAGAAAACTCCAAATAAACCCTTCTAATTTTTCTTGGGTCAATCCCCCAAAAAATTAGAAGGGTTTGTATAGAGTTTCAGAGCATAAGTGGCTAATATCTCAGATACAATTTGCCCCAAAATACTATGACATCACCACTTTAGTACTCCATATGGAGCCTAGATAAATATTAATGATGGGAAGGATTATATCATAAGCAAGCAGCTGCTTTAAATGTAAAGTAGTAGTAGTAGGAATCTTTTTCAAATGGATTTAATCAGTTATTGACTGTAATTAAGATTTGATAGATGCGAGTGAAGTTTAGGATACATGTATATTTTCAAACAGTTAGGACAGGTCATGCATCTTTGCAAGTTTAAGGTCACCAATATTCTCTCTTTTGTGGTAAGACATTCTTAGTGATAATAATTTTCACACTTTTTAAGGCACACATTCTTTACCTCAAGTATCTTGACCCCTGTGTGCCAGTCACCAAGCTGCATGGTAAACCCCTCAAGGCGGTCTTCAGCTGTATGACCATTGGACACTGAATGTATTGCATTCACAGCTCTTTCAACAGATAGCTGATCCCCCGTGCATATCTGACTAGCAAATTTCTTCTCGCCTTGAATAGTTACAGTAGGCAGGTATGTTTGGAAATGTCGCAGGATATCAATCATGTCTTCAGTCAGGTTTTCATTTTTAAATAACACACCCATTGGAAGCTGAAATGAATAATTTATTGACATTACCACATTTAAAATTCACCATTAAAATCCTATGTTAATTTGTTATTGTTCATTGCCATTGCTTTACTAAATAGGAAAGTGACTCACTTGAAACTTTAGGGGAAAATAATACCTTATTACAGCTGAAACTCAGAACTTACTTGCTCTTTCAATCAGCCTTAGCTTATTCAAAGCAAATTAATTATCCTGTTGTATATTACTCAAATAATAGTCCCCCATAAATGTTTTTCACACCGCAGTTATGTTATCATGAGAGTATAATTTGACAGGAAATTTCATTGAAATATACAGTATAATATTTTACATGATATCAGAGGCTGTGCACATTATTTACTTGGCTACAGGAAACATCTATACCAATCTTATTATTCTGGTACTAAACTATCTGGAAGTTACATAAAAAATTTCACACCTAGTCCTGTGTTCCAAACCCCTCTATTACCACCAGGCTTTTCAGTGGGTTAGCGAGGTGCAACTGTATATTTCGATGTGGCCACACATTTACAGTTAAATAGTCACAAGTAATTGTTGTGACTAAAATTGAATTGCTTCATTCATGATGCATGAAAGCAGATATTAAAGGGGAAAACTTTGAAAATCAGTACAAAAGCAGAAAGCAACATGAAAGTACCCAAAGGAAAAAAGAAAAACTTACAACTTCTGACTTTTTGGCCATCTCATTGGAATACTTGTGAGGAATATGGAATACACACACATCCTTGAGAGCTGAAAAACAATCTAAATGCTCCACAAGAACTCTTGATACTAAAATTGTGTAGTTGTAACGCTGAAACTTCTGATCGTCAACAGTGGGAAACAATTTAAGATTTGAAAGGGAAGTAATGTCCCTTGGTGAAGTCTCAAGACAACCTCCAGAAACTCTGTTCATTATTATCTTGTGATTGACCCAATGAAAATCCAAGTTTTGGTTGTCCTTGGTCATATGTCTGCACTCACGCTTTCCATCAATATTATCAAACGCAATAGCAAAACCAGGATGCATGTTCTTCTTAGCTTGTTTTAGTTCAAATTTGGCTTTTGTAGCATCATCAGCACACTGCTGGGTACATGGATGTTCATTTGAACTGCAACTGCCAGTAATTGCCACTACCTTCCTTGTGTGTTCTAGTACAACTTCCTCCTCATTGGACATTTTCTTTTGTAAGTCCAGAATTTCCTGACCATGATTTTCACCTAACACATCAAATTTTGCACGAACTTTTGCGGCTGAACAGGTGACCTTCATCTTGGATAATCTGCCAAAGGTTGCCTTGTAACAAAAGAGCAAGAGATCAAAATTTTGATTATATTGTTTGTCCTAAAAAATCTACAAGTATTAAGAAATATTAATATCTGAAGGTTCATGAATAATTAAGAATAACAATGCCAAGACCCCTCGTCACACTGATAGCCATAAAACAAAGAATTCACCTTCCTTAACCCTTGATTCAAACAAAATCTAATGTGTAACTGATAAATGTCTGTATGAAACAAAACTATATGAAACACTTTTACAGCTGATTTAATTAATATTAAACAATTAATCAAGTTAGTTTTAACTCGACTTTCAAAAGCCCTTGTAGATGCAAAATAATCTATGACTTGTCTTACCTCCAAAGATCGTGATTTGATAAGGATTCCAAGAACTGTTGCACAGCCATTCATGTGTGAGTTTCGCTGCTTTAACAGGATCGACCCTGCGACTGCTATGCTAGGAAGCCATTCTGGAGCAATCTCCTTTCGAGTAGTTGTAGCACATGTCATTAGAAAGGCATAGAAGATAGGCGCTCTTTCTTTCCATTCAAGACACAGTTTCTCGAAATCGAAGTTTACAATCTCTTCCTTTGTGTTGGCTCTTAACATGGAAGGTTGTTTTCTGCTACAGATACCATTAATTTGCGACGTCATTAGCTGGAGAACTTTTTCCACGACAATTTTCTTCAGTTTAACATTCTTCAGTATTGCTTTGGCAATGCGCTGTTCGAAACCGGAGGCAATCGCCTTTCCAAGAACTGCAAGGTCATCGTTTAATTCCTTTTCGCACAGTTTTGCTGGGATATTCAACGGAAAGATATACTTTCGTTTCGGTGATCGATCGTTCTGAAATCTCGCGCGGCGTCTTTGGTGTTGAGGACGACATAGGACAGAACTGCATAGGACCAACAATTCCCGACGACTGTACACAATTTGGTGCTCGAAAAATCGAGAGTGGAGCGATTGGGCTAATGGCACCAAAACCAAAAACCGGCGGAAGCTTTGTAAAAGCAGACACACAAACATTATCTGGAGGCTTTAAGCTTACTGGTAATGGTGGTCCCTGCGAAATTTCACCCGACGGGTTGGAGTCAAAACTTAAACTCTTCCTTGCCTCCGGCGCTTTTGTTGAATCTTTTGATAATCTTTTGATACGGAGAGGTCCGTTACTTTCAAATTTCTGCTTGATACCATCGACGATCTGGTTGACTTTTTTTAAGGCCTTGTTGTAGGCATTCAACATGTTATAACACAAGCGACATATCGCGAGGTTCTCGCTGCCGACATAAACACCCAAATCGACTCCAAGTGCGCGATGAATTAACGCACCAATCTGCAATTCACTCTTGCCAAAGATCTTCACTTTCTCCTTGAGACTGGGAATTTTATCCTTACACAAAAAACAATCTCCTTCGGCCGAGGTAACTTTTTTCGGCGTTTCCCCACTCATGGGTGCATAATGCCACTTCTGAAGCAGTTGTCGGTCCTCGCGATTTCCCGCGTGTCTTCAATAACATCTTTCTATCACTCAATTTCATTGGTCGAGTAAAGAAGAAAAGAAATGACGTCACGGAAATCGTTTTGGAGCTCGAGATCGCAGACGCTATTTTTCGGAGGGAGAGAAGCGACGACCGGAAATGCGTCTGCTGTTCGCAGGCTACACTGAGATATGATATTTGCATGAGATACTGTTATCAGTCATTACCCCTAATATGGTTCGTGCGAACCAGAGGGTAATACGTTCCATCCTTGTTTCTAATCTAAATGTTCACTGACACATGAATTATTAGTGTATTCCTACCTTACTTTATGTAATGTAAATTTTTTATAAAAGTGTGAATAAAAATTTCATTGAATTGCTTCTCAAGTGGTGTAGGTTACGTTATGCGCCCTATACTACTCAGAATGTGGACAGCATTCCAAAGTTTTATATTGCGAGATAATTATAATCATGAAGTATTTCTACAAAGATCTTATCTGACAATATCTTTTTTATTGTCTACGGCAAAAGTACGCCAAATGTATATTAACTTCGCCAACTAAGGAATATCGAAGCTATATCTGGGTTGAATTTCTTTTGGTGTGTCAGGTTGTCAAGATAACTGATACGTAGTGGGTTGTAGGGTACTTAAGTCTTGACAGAGGCTATCATCATTTCTAAAGTGAGAGATGTATTGTATAAGTTTGTTCCATTTATGTCGGAAGTTTTGCACTTTTCTGTTCAGGAGCACTATACTTAAAATTCTTGCATCTGAAATGACTGGCATGGCTCTCGGTAAATGACTAAAAATTGTGACACAATTCTGCAGAACGGGGAAAACCTCATGAAGCGCTTGTTTCTACAATAAATCATATCATTTTTTGCTGCTTCAGTTGCTTTAAGACGTACTAAAACGTAAAACCCTACCGTAAAAACAAAAAAGAAAACAGGAAAAATCAGTCACTGAAAACAGCTTTCAGATTGTGCTGAAACAGCTGAAGTATGGAAATTGACCATATGTTATTTATGTTCGAGGCGTCTTTAAACTTGCTTATCTTGGCGGCGAATGGGAAATCGCAATAAAAAAAAAGGTTAAAAAAAATACTGCAGGTTACGATATAGTCGACAAGGTAGGTTATCATAAACCTTTACCAGGGCAGTGAACAGCACATGAAACTTTTGTTTGGCATACTGTATGTAGGACACGAGAGAAAGCTTAAATATAACTGATAGCGGTAAGGTAAAATATCTTTGATGGGTAACTTGTAAACTTAAGTGCAGGAAAAACAACTTTTTTCTGTAACGATAACAGATATCTACCTAAGAGGTAGAATTTGGATAGGTTCCTTGAAATTCAAGGATAGGTTCCTTGAAATTCAACTCCTGAGGAATTCATCTACATTTGACAAATCAATAGAGTTGGAGTCATCGCGTTGAAGTTTCGCACCCGTCCCGTCGTGGTTGCTATCCCTGATATTAACTCTTATTATTCACTGAAAATACTTCTCCGTATTCCCCCAGCTAATTATTTGTTACTAGCTAGCATTGATCCAATTTGGAATATACTTTCCTATATCCTGAAAGATGAGTCACCTTTACAAACAAAGATAGGTTTTCACTGTCGCGTAATTTTTACGTGCGTAAACATCCCTTCATATCGTCAAACTCCTGAGGAACAGATAAATGTTGTAAAGACGGAACTTTCAATAGATGGAGCCCGAGGTAAACTTATTTTGAAGTTGGAAATATTTTAAATTTATACAAAAGCAATTACTGGGTTCGGCTTTTCTATGATGTGAGAAACTAGTTATGCAGGTCGCAGATCTGCGCATAACTCTTCATGATCATATTCGGCTTTATGCAATAATTTCTAATTAGGTTGTACGAAATTTTATTTTTTCCTCGACTTGATATAATTGGACAGACTACGTGTCGGTGACGTCACAATTATACGACCTCATACTCTACTCTTGTGTAGTTCTACTTAGATCAGGTAGGTAATTCTTATGCAAGGCGTTCATTTCTAATTTTCTTTACTGTAGTTTCCAAGTGTGAATTATTAAATGTAATACAGCGTTAGGCTAATTCTGTAATAAATGAATCGGGGTTAGCCGTTGCTAAAATTTGAACAGTGATAAAAACTGTAGCAAAGTCATGAATCTTTTTCAAGATTTGATGCAGATTAGGCTCAACACAATGGAGACCATGCAACCCCTTTTTTTATTGAATCAAACTGCCTTGCTTTGCAGTCTTTGTTCTTTCAACAGTTCAGCTATTTAAAAAGCTCCTAAAAGTCTTCTCGATAAGTTTGCGAAAATCAATACAAAATATCATTATAAAACGCGATTATCTGCAAAAGAATGTTTCTCTGTCAAATTCTCTAGAACTCAAAAGATGAAAAAATCTTGTACTAGAATTCGTGTGTCTATTTGGAATTCTATTCCACTTTCTGTTAGAACTCTCAACATATCTAGTTTTCGTAAAACAATTAAATCACTACTCCTTAATGTTCTAGGTAATGAAGATAATTATTTGAATGTTAATTATTTAATAGAATATTTTGTGAAGTTAACCTGATATGTTGTATATACCTCCAGTTGTAATTTTACTCTTTTTCAAATAACAAAATCCCCTGTACTTGAATTTATATGTAAGGTGTTTCTTTCTGTATGTTTTTGCATTTATTTTTTTTCTTTTTTCTTATGTAATTTAATAACGTCTTTTGTCCTTCCTAGATTAGCATTATAGCTATTTGCAGGACATAAAGTATTGTAAACTTTATATTTCTTTAAATAAATACATTGTTGTTGTTCTAATGGGGGAAATACCGTGATCTGAGGAGAAAATTGAGAGAAAATTAAGAACAAAAACCTCAATTGATACAAAACCCGCAAAACCGCATAATTTTGGCTCAGAAACGGAAAAAAACGAGTCATGATAAACAAAAACCGCAAAAAGTAAAACTCAAACTTTTTGACAAAGAGGGTATAAATATCCTGCCACAATTAAAAATATTTCTTTTCGGTGTTCTCAGACACCTTTTCTTAAAAAAAAAGAGGAATTTTTCGTAAATATTTGACATAAGCGCATTCCTGTTGACATAGCCAGAAGGTTGTGGTATACGTAACACATTAGCAAACAGTGAAACTGTGCTGTTTACAACTAGGTACTACACAGCCAGTAGTATTTGAAGTAGTGGCAATTAAGGTAAAAAAAACGTAAAGGTAAAGAAAATACAGTAACAACTTTTCTGGTTATTTTTCTTTGTTTTCTTTCTTTTGACAGGAAATTTAATCTTTTTGTTGTTGTTGTTGTTTACGTGTCTAGCGCTGCATCTTATTAAACCGCCTGACCAATGAAGATCAATAAAGGTACTTATTAACTGGTGCTGGGTGCGGCAATACAAAAGTTAACGATTAATAATTAACAGCAAAGATCCAGCTGATGTCATATATTACAATGTTAACAGCAAACTTCAACTCCTGTCTTTTTCTGGTGTTCTTAAAGGTGTTTTGACTGTTAGCTGTTTTTAAATGCCGGAATGGCTGGAAATACCAAATCGTCAAGCTGCAAGCATGAAATAGAATTTAGAGGCATCCTATTACCTGATTATATTAAAACTTTAATTTCCAACAATAAAATGTTTGAAAACGATCAGGATCATAAACTTTTGACAAGACTATAGTTGTCACGAAATTCATACGTTGGTTGGCCCTTAATTATTACGACAATTGAAATGCAAATTTTTTTAAAAGTGGTGATAAAGACTTATTCCCAACCATTCGGTTATTTACCTTTTTAATAGGCCTCTTAGCTGCTCTTTGCCAAGACTAAGCAAGCTAGTTAATAAGATCTCTAAGGAACTTACTCCTTACGTTATTTGCATAGAATAAGAAGCGGTTGACAGTCAAGGCAGGAGTATACGATGAACAAATCAGCCAACTCTACCCAACTCATGAGTGAGAGCAAAACTTCAAATGACATGCAATTAGCCGAACTGTTGGTGTGGTGCTCGCTAAATGGTTTTGTAGCCATCCCAGCGGTTCTTGGTAACTCGTTTGTCATAGCAGCATTCATGCGTTTCAAAAATCTTAGGACAAGAACGAACTATTTCGTGGTTGGGCTCGCAGCTGCGGATATTCTGGTTGGTCTCTTATCAATTCCATTTTGGATCACAACAATGGTTTCAATTTGGCTTCAAAGTGTTTCTTGGATGAAAAGTTCCCTTTTATACCGAGCTTTTATCGCACTGGATGTTTTCTCTGGTATAGCGTCCATCCTCCATTTGTTATTGATAAGCTTGGAAAGATTATACGCTATTGGCTGCCCTGTTAGGCACCGAGTATCCTCAACACGTTCCTACATTCTGGCGGCATCGTTATCCTGGTGTTTAACGCTTATTGTAACAGTTTTATTCGCTGCACAGAAACATTTTACTCATTTTCCTCGTTTTCTCGTCTTACTATTTTGCTTTCTCGTTCCTTTAATTATGATATGTTTTACTTATATCACGCTGTGGTTGCTTGTAAAGTTCCAGAAACATGATTCCAATTTTTGGAACCGCAACAAAGAGATAAAACTTAGCCTGACTATCTTCTTTGTTATTCTTTTGTTCATTGCTGCTTGGACGCCTTTCATGGTCATAAACATTGTCATGTTTTTTTGTGGACATTGTGTCATTCCCAACAAGGTAGCTTATGTTTCCAAGCTTCTCCATTACAGCAACTCAGCAGTAAACCCTCTGGTGTACGGATACAGGCTGCCTGAATTCAAAAGAGCCTTTAGATTTCTTATAAAAAGCAGAAAAAAATTACGTTTTGCCTCCCTAAGCTTCAACCAGAGCAGTTTTGAAGTGAGGCAATTGTTCAATCGACAAAGCAAGAGTTCGGTAAAGGCAACCCATAAACACTTTAAAAGGATAACGGCCGTTTAATTGTAAGAACGGAAGTAATATTTAATGGTGAATCTTCAGAACACGTATGAGCCAAAAAGAAAAAACTGGTATTGGCGGTCTTATTTTGCATTTCCTTGGAGGTCGAAGTTCTTTGTAAGTTGAATCTAAAAAATATTGAGTACTTAAAAGTACTCAACCTTTTCCCCGCATAACTGATAGCTTGTAATAGGACTGATGGATTTGCTTTGACCAGATAGCAGGCCAGTTTTTATAACTCAATTTGGGGTTAATGGGAACTTAGTGTCCATTTTCTAAAATTACCGAGAGAAAGACTTTAGGTAACGATGAAATCATAACTCACTCAAAGCTGGAGAAAATGACGGTGGATATGATTTCAGATGTTTGTGAAATAAACGAATCACTGCCTTGAACCATTAATAGCAAAACTAACAAAATACCATCGACGGACGATATCTTCTGTTTGAAGAATATCTGCTGAAATGTACTTATACCTGGATATCCTAAAATTTTCGAGGAAGAGTCGGGCAATTATAGTGACGGGAACTGCATACCAGGGGCACCCAACGAGAATATAGTTCATCCAAAACCACTTAAACATAGCATTGTTAACAACGGTAGATATAGACATACTTTTACCCCCTAAATATTTTACATCTGTTCGGATTTCCTAGCTGAAAGTTTAGTGATCCGAGAATTATAGGGATCAAAAAATTTCAGCCAGAAAAAAGGCTCCCGAAAATTCTAGGCGACCTTTTAGGGGTAAAAATCGTTAAAAATAGGCAATTTCACCATTTTTTTAGATGTTCGAAAATCCTAGGAGAGGCAGGCAAGCAAGAAATTTTACAACAAATGTTCCGAAAATTCTAGATCTCAAATCGTCTTCCGAACAATGTTTTCCTAAAAGTGACGTTGGGTGCCCCTGCTATACATAGACCAGCGTAAGCTTCCTTTTACGTTAAAGGAATAATGAACAGTTATTAGGTTCGGCTTTCGTGCGATTTAAAGAATTATACAGATGTCGGAGGGCGTTATCCGCATCTGCATAATTCTTATCTTTACAAACTGAGTCATTGGATAATGCACTTCTAGAGCTCTGATTGGCTAAGCCAATATGGTATATTTAGCCATTATTGAATTCGGCTTTCGTAGGATATGAAGAATTATGCAGATCAAGGAGGTTGGATAACACCCTCCGAGATCTGCAGAATTATTCATATCCTACGAAAGCCGAATTCAATAATTGTTTTATTATTCCTTCAAATTAATTGCAAGTATAAAAACAAGCTATAACATGCTAACCTCGGTCGATGTAAGTTCATATCGATAATGCACCTTTATCGGGAAGTTTAGGAGATAAAGGTCTGCTCAGGTCTACAAATATACTCCAAACAGCAAATAGCAGATGTTGTCCGTCGAGTTGTCTTCTTGCTGTTCTTACGATGTTTTTAGACAATATTTTGCCGTGAAGAGAGTAAAATGTTCCGCGACAGCTCCGCCATTTTGCTCTAACTACCAAAACAAAACGACAACTCAACCTCGTCCCCAGGTTTTCTCGGTCAACATTTCAATAACCTGCAACCAGGCTGCACTTTTGATGTCATTTTGACGTCATCGGTTTAATGCGACAAAATTCATTGCAAATTTGGTCAACAGCAGCTGGTTATGGTGAATTATGCGAGTGTTTTTAGCCAATCAGAAACTGGGAAATATTTTGAATGAATAATAAGAACATTATACCATGCTCTCCAAATATGGTAACTGTACGCGTCTGCTCAAAATTAAAAACAAGCTGAAAATCCGTTGTTTTTACAAATAAAGTCGGGAAGAATTCCCGATATTTTGTGGTCGTTTTTAACAAAACAATTATTGCACTCGCGCTTCTTTGAAATGAGATGATTATAGCGAACTCATATCCAACGCGCACTCGTGGAATAATTGTTAAATATGATTCTCAGTCCGATTCAATAATTGCTAATCACGGTTATTTCAAAGTATTACTAGCTTCCCCATTATGAAAATATGACGATTTTACGCTTCCTAACTGTGTCCGGCAGAATTAAGGGGTTAAGGGGGCAGTCTGGGTGTTTCTTTGGGGGAAATGATGTTGATTTGGGAATGAAATAAAGTAGAATAGAAGAGGTGTACACTTGAAAATCAGACTCTTACTCAATCACTATTTATGTGTTGGGTACGGGTTTGCTTGAAAATCGCTTTCCTACTTGCACAGATATACAACTATCTAGTTTGGAATGTTACGTTGGAGGTAACTGCCATATAGAGGGATATGAGGGGGATAAATAAAGCTAAAAACACAATTATCATTTATGAAAGTGATTTCGGCAATCAACAGTTACCAGCCACCAGTAAATTGCCTTCGATTGGGCGTGAGGCGTTGTTTTTGAATATCACACACAGGACATCAACTTGTCTTATCCTACGTATAATTTTTTGAATGCGGCTCGAGGACTGTTGAAAAACTTCTCAGGCCTGCACCGCAACGGCTGCTACAAATATTGAGCTGACTATATATTTTATTAATGAAATTAGAAATGTAAATTGAAAGGCAGAGAAAAGAGCAAACTTGTCACCTGGAAAGTTAATTAATATTAACGCCGTCATGGGTTTACAAGCGACACGGCCTTAGTTTTACGCAGCTCGATAAAACTTTGGGTTTGAAATGGCTTGAACACGAATCTGTCCAAATTCGCGGTCTGCACAGAACTCACTCCGCGGTTCCCGTGCCCTGCAATAGCAAAGAACAATCCGCATATCTGAGTATGTTGGTTTGAGTCTTATCTCAGATTCGATAAGTGTTTCAATTTTCTTCTTTCATTCTTTCACAAACTGTCCGAGAGACTTTGCATAGACTCTGATATCTTTGTCAGGTAAAATTTTATTTCATTCTGAAATTAGACAATATCGCTCTGATCATGCGGAATCACTAACCCTATGTCAATAAATTAAACTATACAATTATTCAAATAACAGTTATTATGTAAAAAATATACTTTCAACGCAAATTGAATTTATCACCAACAGCGTTAGCACCGGATTTCAATTTTGTTCTTTAAAAGTGAAAGGGAGCGAGAATGTTTACAGTTCATATCATTCAAGTGATTTGAAGCCCGCTGTCAGGTTGTTTGTTATGAAACTTGGATCAGCAGCTCATGCGACTGGACTGAGGGACAGGTGAAATCAAGCTCTTCAATGTTAAATGTCAACCAGCAACGTTCGTGTCATCTTATAAAACTCTTATCTTTTGAGTTTAGCGGATTACACCCAAAAGCATTTCTTTGTGGAAAAAACCTTTGTAAGTGTGACATTTCCTGAAGAAGTATTACTTATAGATGGCAAGATTTATTTTACGCATGTAAAGCTAACCCCATTTCATGTTCACAATCAATACAGTGGCTTTTGAATCTAGCGCAAGCTTGATTAATTGTCGAATATTTCTACTGGCTGCTGATTAAAAAGACACTTTACTGTGTTCTTTCTAAACAGTCGTATTATTTCCCTTCTTTCTTAGATCCCTTGCTGCTCTAAGTGTGCACAGCAAGATTATTGCATCCTGATACCATCCTCGGCTCGCCGCAGTAGTGGCTTTAAGTCGGGCTAAGCTTGAAACCGACGTAACTTTTGCAAGGTAGTATAGTTTACTGAAACTTCTGTTTGTTGACGCTACAATAACAGTTGGTCTTTATCACTACTGTAGGCAACGTAATACACGTGAAAAGTCCATAATTCCTAATGAATGTTCAGATCAGTAACCGATCAAAAGCCCCAAAAGAACATAGTATATAGTTAGATTACAAGAAAACAGGGTTCGTCCTGGAAACTGAACCTGAGTATCAAATGTTACAGCTTGTATTCGTCCGCTTTTTCAAAGTACTAAATAGAAATCGCTACGTATTATTTAACTGAGTACGCTGATTTCAGAACGTTTAGAATCAAAGATAAAATTATTTTCAACAAAATATATTCTACTAAAGAAATCCTCAATTGACTTTGATTAGCTGACAAAAAATGTTACACTTAAATCAACTATACCTGTAACCGATAACTGTGCCGCAGTGTCCCTTTCTTGAGCTCACGACTTAGGCTAATTTGTTTTGTTTTCAGAATAAGTACCCTGTATCTATTTCTAGTAGAAACTAAAATTATTTTCAGTGGCTGAAAAAAATATACTCATTTGCTCTAGTTTGTCAGATTAGATAAAAAAACAACGACAATGTTTGTGGTGTTTGGATCAATTATCTTTCTTTGGCTATTTTTTACAACCCTTTCTCTTACAAGTAGAAGAAGGTTAGTCAAAAAATTCTAAATAACTTGCTTTGCTGTTGACAAGTAAATATTTTTTAAAACATGATAGATTTTTGTTTGAAACTGCTGATGATCACTTCTCATCATTGAATTTATCAAAAAAATCGATCGCCGACTTAAGTTCTTCAGGTCGCGGCTGTTTCCTTAAAAAGTAGGCGTAATCCCTTTGGACTCGCCGAAAGTGCTATGTTTATATGTTTATAAAGAGCAAGTTTTCCTATTCAGCCATTAAATATATTATCCTTAAGTTCTTTATCCTTGAAACCGGAATTTCCTTAAGCCTTTACCGGCCGTGGAGAAGAACAATAATAAGCCTCGACAGCTGATCATGGCTGTTCTCTGTAGCAGTGTAGAAACGGTTAAAAATCAAAGGGTTGTATAAGACATCTCTTACACACGGCGTGTTTCATCATTCCCCGTCAGTGTATAAGTACTCGCCATTTCCAAGTTCGGTTGCCACAGAAGAAAATAAATCCATGGAAAAATGTGCAATTCACATGGATTGTTAAAAGTACTTTGAAAATGTTGAAAACAGTAAAATGAGAAAAAA